CCCCATTTTGGGTAGCCAATGTCCAAGTTGCCCATCCCTGTCTACTCTGTGTGTGGAGGGGGTGGGGATGATTCTTGCTGTTCCCTCTTTTGAGCTACTGCTTCCATAGATGTACTGTTTAGCTCTTTTATTTCATCATTTCTCCCGTTCACTTTAGCTACTCTTTGTTCAAGAACAAGTTTCAGATCTGTTCTAACATCCACTTTAGTCTTTTCTTTCTTTCCTGTCCTTTTAGTGACATTTTGCTTTCATGTCTAATGTCTTTGATGTGATCCTACAACTCATCTGATCTTTAGTCATTAGTGTTCAATCTGTCAAATCTATTCTTGAGATAGTCTTTAAATTCAGATGGGACATAGTTAAAGGTCATACTCTGACTCTCGTGGACTTGTTTTCATTTTCTTCAGCTTCAGTATGAGCAGTTGATGGTCTATTCCACAGTCAGTTCCTGACTTTTCTGACCAATGATATTGAGTTTATCTACAGTCTCTTTCCACAGATGCAATCAGTTTGATTCCTGTGTATTTCATCTGGCAAGGCCCATATATAGAGTTGCCATTTGTGATTCTGAATAAAGCTATTTAAATAAGTCATTTAGTCCTACAAAATTCTGTCATTCAATACCTGGTGTCATTTCTATTAACAAGGCCATGTTTTCCAATGACTGATCCTTATTTCTAATTGTTATATTCCAAGCACCAGTAATTATCAATGCATCTTGATTACATGTTTGATCAATTTCAGACTGCAGAAGTTAGTAAAATATTTTATTTCCTTATCTTTGGAATTAGTGATTAGAGCATACATTTAAATAATAGTTTTAACTGGTGTTCCTTGTAGGCATATGGATACTCTCCTATCACTGACAGCACTGAACTTGAAATACTCTTTTGTTGAAGACTGAGATGCCATTCCTTTTCAATTTGTTATTCCTGGCATAATAGACCATCTGATTGTCTAATTCAGAATAGCCAATACCAGTCCATTTCAGTTCACTCCTACCTAAGATAATTCATTTTCATGCATGCTTTTTTTTTTTTTTCAATTCCCATTTTTTGGGGGGT